AAAAATCAAACTGCTGTGCTCCACAAGCTGGATACTGCAAACATGGTGAGTGAAACTTTAAACAGAAATCTCTCTTTGTTTAGTACAGGCGAGTTTCCCGAAAAAACTCGAGTTACTTTACCATGCTGCATGATATTCGGTTTCTGTAATTTTCTCGACAGGAAAAGATGGAAAAGACGGATTAAACGGTAAGTGTGCGAAAGTTTCTTCATGGTTTATTTGTCGAGTTTTCGAATTAATTTTTATCTAACAAACTGAAAACCTTAATTGTTTTCGTGCAGGAAAAGATGGACACGATGGAATGAACGGTGATGTAGTTATTTCATTTAACTGAATCTTCGATTTAAATGGAAAATATTTTGAATAAGTGAATTCCTTCACAAATGAAATTGGTACGAACCAGTCATTATCGATCGTTTAAGGGGAGGGGGCGGTGGCGGATTCTGGGGGCCGGGTTCAAATAGCTACTAGGGGGAAATTAAAGGAGAGGGGAACATTCGTCGCTAATATTAAGGTATGATTAACTGCCAATAACATGTGGGAGGGGAGGGGGATGATAAGAATATTACAGAGCCTAAGGAAAGGATAAGGTAGACTTTATCGTGACACATCTAATTGCGACGCAATCCACCACCCCCCTTCCCCCTCATCCCCTCCGGCAGTGAGTAATGACCGGTCCCCTATGAGAATTTAGAGGAAAAAGCGAAGATCTATTAATATAGAGGGTTTGGTTAAATGTCAGAAACTAGTGACTTTGGTTGCTGATTTTTTTTTCATTTTATTTTCTGTTCTCCCACTTTGTACTGATGTGATGGGCATTATTTTCCAAATAGGACGAGATGGACGCGACGTGGGTATTTCTGTCTGCATTAAAAATGATTGTCTGGTTAACTGAGACAAACTTGAATACAACTGTTTTCCAATATTGATTATTGGCATCAGATCATTCGTAGAATTGATTCCTTGTTTGTTATGGTAAATCAAAGAGCATAAACTCATTGCAACACTTTGTTGTCCTGAATTTTTTCCAAATGCCAACTCATTAGCTTAGCTATATGGTGCCGTTATTGTTTTGCTAGGGTCAATGTACAATAGAGTAGGACCAGGGTTTTTCTCTATATCTGAACTCAGTTGAAATTTACAATAGTTTGATACGTGTGTGTGATTCTTACAAAGACACA